CTCACCTGCTGCTCCAGGGTCATCACCGTGTGGACTCGGAAATTTCCGCTCTCGCAGGGATCAGTGATCCCGACGGAGCCGGGGAGGAAGAGCCCCGCGGCCAGGATCTGAAGGCAGCGCCTACAGGAGGAGAGGTTTGGTGTCAGGAACCGTTCCCAGCGCAGAACCACGGCTGGAGTCACATCTACGCGGGGAGTCTGCTCTGGCTCCTGCTGGTGTCGCTGGTTTTATTCGATATGTTCAAAACCGAACTGGAATCGTACGAGTGAAGCAAATGGCGACAGACCTGTAGGCGATGTTGAGCGCCAGCGGCTGCCTGGTGGGGTTGTTCATCACGGCGTAGTGCCCCTGGGGAGGTGACAAAATTTTCCAAGTGAGGAGGAGAGCTGCTTCCTGACTCCTCCTGTGGCAGGAGCTGCTTTACACGCCGGAGCCACGCAGGTAGCTCTCACATCCAGCACAGCATCAGCATTCCCCCTGCGGCGCTCACCAGCAGGTCCAGAATCCAGGGCGTGAGGGGCTCAAAGCCGGGGAATCGAATTCGCAGATCTTTCAGCAGGCGGATGAGGACCTTCACCCTGGAGAAGGCAGCAGGAGGAAGGTTTGTAACACCTCTCGCAGCTCCCTGCTGCAGGAACAGCTCCCGGCTTGGCCCCCAGAATTGGAGATTATTTTGCTCAGGCCTCGGAGCCACAGCTGGAGGCCAAACTCACGTGGACTGCGAAGCATTCTCCTCAAACCAGCGAGCGTGCCTGATGGCGGCCAGGGCGCTTTGGAGCACTTTGATGTCCACTGGAAGAAGCAGCAGAAAATATCATGGGTTTGAAGCAAAAGGCGAGAGGGGGGAGTTGGGGGAGGTTCACATGTGGGGCAGAGCGAGCAGAGCCCCTACAGTGCAGTTCAGGGTCCAGCTTGCGGAGATTGGGCGGCACCGTGGTGATGAGGATCTTCACCGTTGCGTCGGCTGAGCTGATCTCGAAGCCGGTCTCATTGGTCAGCATGGTGAGGACTGGGGAGAAAGAGGAATTCCTCAGGGAAGAGCTTACCGGGACCGCAGGAAAGATCCGCGACCGCAGCAGCCCACGTCCTCCTCGACCCTGTCCCACCCACAGGAGAGTCCCACCTTCGCTGGGGTCCTGTGCTCTCAGACTTTCCACGACTTTGTTTCCCAGGGCTGCCACGGCTTCCACTAGAGAGGAGGAGGAGGAGGAGAGGTGGTGAGAGTGGGGCTGAGCAGTGCGTTCCGTCAGCAGCCGCGCCGCCGATACTCACGGGTCGGTAAGATTTTCAAAATCACAACCAGATCGGCCACGTTGTGCCCCGTTGTCATGGTGCCCTTCTTGTAGGAACCCACCTGGCGAACCTCCTCGATTTGCTGTTTGAAAGAGCAAAGCAAAACTGAGTGAATTGAATTACCCACGTGACGCTCCAGGAGCTGGCGTGAAGCTTTAATCCGCTCGGGGAGCTGGAACGCCTGCATCCCCCCCGTGGAAACATTCTGGACTCACCACTTCAAACGTTCCTGGTGCTACGATTAAATTGTCGATCACGTTGTTTATTTTGGTCACCAGAGACAGAATGGAAGCCTGGAAAGGAATTGGGAGACAGGCGGTGGCACTAGTCAGTTATTCAGATTTGAAATAATCACGGACAGTCTGGTTTTACGTCCACTAAAGCTGTGGTAACATCCCGCCAAAGAATTTAAGGCAATTTTCAGCACAAAACCTGTTCGGCGGCGGTTGGAGCAAGATCCTGGTTTCTCTTCAGCAAGGCTTCGCTGAACGCGGTCTCATCAGCGGCGGGTTTGACGCGAGGGAACGCCATTTCGCACTGAAACGGGATCGGATATCAGACTGTGATGCCCAAGATTATTTTGGTTCAACCCACTCATCAGCAAAAATCTTTTCTTTAATTATCCGCCGCTCATTTCCTTTGCAGTTCCCCATTGTGCTTTTCACTTGTTGCTTTTTATAATTTCACGTTCTCCTAAGGGAGGGAGAGCATCTGCCTGTCCTGCCTGTGTGTTCTCACCGTTCCGACAGGATCAGCAGCTCTTTGGAAACGGCACAGGAGCCACCACGGGCCGTGTGGCCGCGACAGGGCAGAGTTAATTTAACCAGGGCTCTATCCAGATGGTGTTAACTATATTACAACCCCGTAAAAATAACACCCTTTGTTTGCAGAGCTTTTCGGTTGCCATGCCTGGAAGGCAAGTGCGTAAGGGAGCTTGTTTGCCCTGGAAGTCATGTGGGGGTGAAGGAGAAATGCTCGGCAGGAGGAGGAAATTATTTCCTCCTGTAAAAGGTGGGAAACATGTTGCTGCTGGTCCTCGCAGGGACCAACGTGGCAAAGGAGCCTGGAGACCATCTGAGAGGTCAGTGACAGCTCCAGGAGCCACCCAGCCACGTTCCTGTGACAGTACTGAGGCTCAGGAGTGCCTTAAAAACCCGAAACACTCAACCAAAGCGTTGGATTGTTGTGATCATTCCTCAGCTGCAGCCTAGCCAGCCCCTGCGCCACAAGCGCTCCCACCCACTGTAGGAAGATGTGTTTTGGGTTGAACACTGAACCAAGAGCAGTTTCAGGGAGCTCCTCTGCTCCGGCTAAACTAAAAGAAACCAAACCATCGGACAAAGGAGCATCTTAAAGCAAGGAAAAGTGCCCCAGCTGTTGCCTGCAAACAGCTCCGTAGGAGAGGGTTACTCACGACATAGAAATCAAAGGGGATGTGCGGCACAAAGGGCCGGAACCTAAAGGGGGAAAGAAAAACCACCTTTATTCTCTGGGGAGAGGCACACCACCGCCCCCCCCCAGCCCCGCCCCCAGCGCCGTTTTGTGGAGATTTATTCCCGAGACGCAAGAAAAGCCCTACAGAGACAGGACAGGGATCTTCACACC